CTGTCGTTGCTAGCTGGCGGGTTGCAGGCAAAACTTTATGTTGTTCACCTGCCAAGGTCATTGCACTTTTAACCAATCAATGGATACAGGACATTCGGTCCGACTTTCTTCTGTTAATTTCTCGGGTCTGGTTTTGACTTCGCTTTTGTATATAATAAATATTACAACGAACAAGAAAGTCGGACAAACGGTCCGACGATCACTTGGTTCCTGTATATCCTGTCCGACTTTTTTCCACTAATGTAATATTCTGACGAGAATTGAGTGGAACTTTTGCTCTCAGGGAATATTTCGTAGGGAAATGAATCTATTTGAAATACTCCGTACTATTATAGTTAGCCGGGAATTATTTACCCAAAAATGACTCAAAGTCCCTAAGGCTATTTAAGTACGTCTAAGTACTAGTATTAGGATATTTTGACGTTCTTCTTAGGCGTACTTAAGTGAATATATAGGTAAATAAATATACCAGTACTCAGTACAGAGAATCGCAATGAAATTTCTGGATCATTTTTTCTCTTGATTGAAGTATACAGGTTTTAGACGAATATTAGCTACTGTACGTCAAAGGCGCATGTTGGTACTATTAATACAGTCAAATTGTCAGAACGTTGGTCTTTACAGAGAATGTGCATGCGACCTTGTCCCACAAAGTTGATCATCAGCACCAAAGCCATTTTGCAATTGCTAAGAGTTTGCGCACATGGCCACATTTGTTGTGTCCCCCGTCGAAGCCAACACGTATGAATACCGCGAGTGGGAGAAACCCCAGGGGAAGGAAGGCCATGCTGTGACTTCGCGCAAAGAATACAAGGAAGAAGGCTGCGGGGAGATCCTGCAGTCGTCGCCCAACATCCACGGCGCCTCGTTGATTCCGTCCGCCAACGGGTTCGTGTTGGGCGCTGTCCGTGCTTACAACGAGCACCACCACCTCGTGTTGCGTCCTGACGATGTCTGGCTCGCCATCATGACGCAATTCGGCCTGTTTGTGAACGGGAATGCCGAGGCGGTGCGGCACAGTTTGGTCAAACACCAAGAAGGCACGAAGGAACTGGTTGTGCGGGCCGTGGGCTCGTTGCACACAGCCAACTACGGTCGTCTCGCGACGCATTTAATCTTGAAGATGAAGGAACACCTCGTGGATCCATCGCTGGGCGAGTGGGTACTGCCTGCGTTCACGACCACGACAGACCACGACCGCATCGTGGGCAGTGTGGTCATGATGGCTTCCATGAAGAAGTACTTTACGTACAAGATGATGCTCATGTGTGGCCTGCCCAGCGTGACCTTGCTTGGAACTGCGGCCGATTGGGAAGCCATTCGCTGTCGAGTGGACAAGCTGGCCACCTTTGGCGACGTCACAACCAAGTGGCACGCGTTGCTGGCCCCTGTGCTGGACCAGTTCGTGGCGGCAGCCCAGAACAAGCCAGACGTGGCATTTTGGCAGCGCATTTGCCACACGGAGGGTGGCGGCGGGTCAGGCCCGAGCTTCCTGAGCGGGTGGATCACGGTGTTTTCCGTGTTTGACGTCGACGGCAAGTGGCAAGGGGACGAGCGCGTGATTCGGTCGTGGGGCGAAGAAACGACCTGTGAGTTTCCAGTCGTGGACCTTGATGACGTGGCGCCAGGATACCTCACAGTGGACGTGACGATCGACGACAACGGCGTCGAGCACAAGAGCGTCATGTTTGCAGGGCAGATGTCGTACACAGTGGTGGAGGGCAATTCGATCCAGCCGACTTTGTCGTGGGCGATGGCGCTCAAGGAATCCAAGCAGTAAAAGTTTGCGACTTGGGTAATGAATAGTCAGCCGACGCTGTGGACTGGGTCTCATAACAATAATACAAGTACTGTATGTACTACATTGCGGCAGGATGTCCATTGGAAATCTTGCCAGCATCGTGGACATCCAGCTTAGTTATAGGTTGAATGCAGCAAGTGTATACTTCGGCTGAACGTAGAGTACTTTAAATATGTTTTTGTATTTATTGCTGATATCTATTGACGCAACGAGTGGTCCCATTCGTGCAAGTACGAGGCCATGGTCGCAACCAACCTGCGGACGGCCACTTGGTCGGTTCGCGATCGATCGTACGCTGCACGGATGGCGACGCCCGAGGTCGTGGGGGTCACCGCCACTTCAATTGCATACACCGCGGCTGGATAAGTGTCGTTGCATCCGCCATTGATCTTGACGTTGTCGTCCATGGCGAGGTCGTGAGAGCGATGGAACGCCAGGTCCGTGTCAAATTGCATAGCTGGTACGTGGCTCCACGTGGCGTGGTCGTCGGA